CTGGTGGTGCTGGTCAAGGACAATGGCGAGCCTCCGCTGTCTGCCAGTGTCACGCTGCACGTGCTTCTGGTGGATGGCTTCTCCCAGCCCTACCTGCCGCTCCCGGAAGTGGCGCCCGAGCGCGCGCAGGAGGACTTGCTCACTGTCTACTTGGTCATCGCCTTGGCCTCGGTGTCGTCGCTCTTCCTCTTCTCTGTGCTGGTGTTCGTGGCGGTGAGGCTGTGCGGGAGGCGCAGGGCGGTGCCGCTGGGTGTCTGTTCTATTCCTGAGGGCCACTTTCCGGGTCACCTGGTGGATGTTAGTGGCACGGGTACCCTGTCTCAGAGCTACCAATATGAAGTGTGTTTGATGGGCAGCTCAGGCACCAGCGAGTTCAAAGTTCCTAAGCCCATTATCCCCAGTTTCCTTGTTCAAGGTGTGGAGACAGAAAGGGACGAAAATCCCAGTTTCAGGAATAATTTTGAATTCAGTTAAATACCAAGAAGGATCCACTGAGTCTGGTCTCAATTTGTACAAAGTTCTGTTTTTATTGCTTTGCCCATTTATGCCTCTCCTCTCCTCTGCTCTCCTATCTTCCTATCCCCTCCCCTCCCCAATCCTCCCTCCCCTCTTTTCTTCTTTCCTTCCTCCTCCTCCTCCTCCTCTTCTCTCAAGTATCTATTCCAATTCTGTGCACATTACTGATATTTCTAAATATATGGTCTTGTGGTATGATTAATGTAAATTTTCTTTGTATTCCTTTTTTAAAATTAGTCTAACAACTTAGATTTAAAGTGTGAAATAAATTTTGTATTTTTAGAAATCCTTAATTTTTAAGTTAAAGCACCTTACCCCCAAACTCACATCCCCAGAAAACTCATATGCTCCTAACTAATTTTGAAGTCCTACATTTAAAATATTTGCTATCATTACACAGGATAAAATTTTCCCATCTGGAATATTTTGGGGTTTTATATCCTCTTCCCCCAATGTAACTTTTATTTTGTGAACTTACAGTGGCTAAACCATTAATATAGGTTTATTCATGAATAACTTGCACCCTCCATGCATTTGTTTAAATATGTACTTCTTTAAAATATTGACATGTAAAAAATATTACTCTTTAGCGAGAAGCCTAACTGTTGGATTCTACAAAACATTCACATTACAAATTATAAATTTTTGTCAAAAATCACTCAGGTGGGCAGTAACCTATTGCCAGAAAATTGTAAGCTTAATGCCAGCCTTGGTCACTTAGATCCTGCCTCAAAATAATACAAACAATGGAGATGTAGCTAAGTGCTATAACATTGTGGGCTCAATCACCAGTAGGAAAATCACTCATATTCTAAAATAATTTAAAATTTAAGTTCTACTATTTAACTAATAGTACCTATTCAGTGATTTTCAAAGGCATGCCAATTTTTCATGTTTTCTATTTAAAATAGTCTTTAAAATTCTCTGCTTATTCTAATCCCCCCTTTAAAAACCTGTTTTAATTATTTAAAACCCTCTAACTGAGCCCTTCATCAAAATCTAAAACTATACCAGAGAATATATCTTTGACCTTTATCAATTTTTAGAAAATTCACATGTAATTGGGATTTGCATTTTTCAGATTTTTTGGAGTATTTATGAAAAACCTATATTAATGGTTTAGCCACTGTAAGTTCACAAAATAAAAGCTACATTGGGGGAAGAGGATATAAAACCCCAAAATATTCCAGATGGGAAAATTTTATCCTGTGTAATGATAGCAAATATTTTAAATGTAGGACTTCAAAATTAGTTAATTAGTTAATTAGAAATAAACCTGATGGAGGACAAAAATGTATGCAGGTACACTCAGTCTATTTTTTGTGCTGCCTTCTTCTATTTGGTCCCTTTAGTTCCCTAAGATTTTCAATTTTTTAAAAGTTGCTTAAATCATGTTTGTCAATAGCTCCCCATTATGGCATGATTAACACGGTCATTAGACCATTTTAAGTTCTTAATAAAAATTTTGAATGATTGGAAAAGTCTTTATTTCACCTGTGATGTATTGATATTTAAATACACTAAGATACTTTAACGGACAAAAGTTCTTCTGTAATTGAATACTTTCTGTTGTACAATGAATTATGTAATTTTGTATAATTGAACTTTCACTATTATTCAAACCATCTGGTTATCAGTCTTTAGTGTCCCTTTACTTCAACATATCTTTCCCTTTTTTCCTCACTGGTTAATTTGAGTTTCCTCTCCTGTTCACTGGATTAGTTAGGGAATAAATAGGGAAACTGTGGTATTCAATTTTATAATTCATATATACTATAATTCCTAATGATTCATCCAATTTTCTTCATTTCTCAGTTTAATTTCTGATCTATATGTTAAAATTAATTTAAACCAATGTTATTCAGTCTATCTTTCCATTTATATATGATTTTATGCATATTTAAATATGATTAAAATTACAATATGAATTTTGAAAGTCTCATTTTGAGATTATTGGTGACAAATAGCACTATCTTGGTTATCTGAGGAAAAGTATCACAGATTCACAGTCAACCTGAACAACTTAGTGAGATCCTGTCATAAAATAACCAAAAAAATGTTGCTGGGGATGCAGCTCAGTGGTAGACTACCCCTGAAGTCAATCCTCAGTACCACCGCAAAAAAAAAAAAATCTTTATCACTTGTAGGACCTTGAGTAAGTTATCATTTCCAACCCCCAAATGATAACTGCTGTTTAAATAGCTTGCAATTATGATAAAATAAATAGTATAAATGTTAAAAAACCATAATTGCTGTTATGTTTAATGTCACCAAGAATAGAGTCAAAAGATGTGCCAGCATATGTATCCCTGATAACTGTCAAAATACAAAAGAAGCTAGATTGAACACATGATATTTGCAATTTTTCATATATTGTCCTACAACTTTACAATGCTTTTTGTTATTAGAATAAAATCTAAGCACACATTATTTGGCCTGCATTTACCTACCTAGCCTCCTCTTCTCACCTACTCTTGAAAGTTCTAAGTTCTGTGTACACTATTCTTCTTTACTAGATTAGTCATGCTTTTCTAGCTCAGGAATTTCACATATTAAGCATTCAACCTCTGACACACCTTTTCATCCATGTTCCAAATTAAATGGTACATCTTAAGGAACATTTTCTTAACTTCTCCCCATTAAGTTAGGTCTCTTTATTGTATGTTTTCAGTGCCCTGAGTACATTTTCTATGCAACACTTCTTAGGCTGAACACCTGTAAAATAAGGATAGAGCACGTTTCAATGTTTATTGAAGGTGAAAATATAGAAGTAATTAGGCATTTGTAGTCCTCTGATCTACCCCCTGACATGACCTATTATAATTTTTTTACCACTTTGTCATTTGATAGTATTTTTCCAACTAGAAATGCAACTCTCACATTTTTATAAAATTTGGAAAATAAAATAATAGGACTTCTAATCATGTTCTCATTTAGAAAAAATTTTAAATTTGCATGTAATGATTATAGAACGTGTTCACTGCTACAAAATAATGTAATTGAGGATTCTACAAGGAACAATCACTTCTTTAAGAGCTCATTTTACTTCTCTAGGTTATGTTTACTTAACTTACATAACACAAGAAACTCTTCCAGTAGCCTCTACTGAGTTTGATAAGGGCAATAATCAATATAACAAAAAATCAAAAACAAAACCTACCTTTTGCAAGAGTTTAAACTGTGAGCGAACGCATGGTGGCGCTGCTGACTAAAAAGGTGAATTAAATCGCACGCACACAGGACTCTGAGAGCACAGCTCCGGTGCGGTAAACTAGGGTTTGTGAAATGGTGACGATTTTTAAGCAAGCCTCGTGAAAGGATTATTTACCAGGTTGGAATTTCCAGGACTTTGCATTCCCAGAGCCTTCTGAAGCTCGGCTTGGCTACATTCCTTGGAAGAATATAGCAAGAAGTGCAATGGAGGCCAGAGGGGAGAGCTTTCTTAGACAAAGGCAAGTCCTGCTTTTCTTTGTTTATGTGGGTGGGTTTCTGGCTGGGTTCGAGTCAAGACCCTATTCAGTGGCTGAGGAAAAAGAGAGGGGCTTTTTAATAGCCAATCTAGCAAAGGATCTAGGGCTAACTGTTGAGGAACTGGTGGCAAGGGGGGCCCAAATTGTATCGAAAGGAAACAAACAGCATTTTCAGCTCAGTCATCACACCGGTGATTTGCTTCTGAAGGAAAAAATGGACAGGGAGGAGCTATGTGGCCCTACAGAGTCATGTATACTGCATTTTCAGGTATTACTGCAAAACCCTTTCCAGTTAATTACACAAGAGATTCAAATCATAGATGTAAATGACCATGCTCCAGTATTCTTTGAAAATGAAATGGAGCTGAAAATCCCAGAAAACTCTCCACCAGGAACAGTAATTCCTTTGGAATATGCTGAGGATTTGGATGTGGGAAAAAACAGTCTCCGAAACTACACAATTGCTCCCAATTCCTATTTTCACGTTCTCATGCGCAGTCGGAAAGATGGAAGGAAGTACCCAGAGCTAGTACTGGACAGAACGCTGGATCGAGAGGAGCTGCCTGAGTTCAGTTTAATACTCATGGCACTGGATGGTGGGTCGCCACCAAGGTCTGGGACAGCCCAGATCCACATTCTGGTCTTAGACATAAATGACAATGCCCCAGAATTTGCACAGTCCCTCTATGAAGTTCAAATTCTAGAGAACATCCCTATTAACTCTGTCATTGTCACTGTTTCAGCTTCTGATTTAGATACAGGAACTTTTGGGGCAATATCATATTCATTTTTTCATGCTTCAGAAGAAATTCTCAAAACTTTTCAACTAAATCCAATTACTGGTGATATGCAATTAGTTCAATATTTGAATTTTGAAGCAATAAATAATTATGAAGTCGACATAGAGGCCAAGGATGGTGGAGGTCTTTCAGGAAAATCTACAGTCATAATTCAGGTGGTTGATGTGAATGACAACCCACCAGAACTGACTTTGTCATCAGTTAACAGTCCTATCCCTGAGAATTCGGTAGAGACTGTGGTAGCGATTTTCAGTGTTTCTGATCTAGACTCTGGAGACAATGGAAGAGTGATGTGTTCCATCCAGAACAATCTCCCCTTCGTCCTGAAACCATCCTTAGAGAATTTTTACACCCTAGTGTCTGAAGGAACGTTGGACAAAGAAAGCAGAGCCGAATATAACATCACCATCACAGTCACCGACATGGGGACACCCAGACTGAAAACCGAGCACAGCATAATAATCCTTATCTCTGACGTCAATGATAACACTCCTGCCTTCTCCCAAACGTCATACACGCTGTTGGTGCAGGAGAACAACCAACCCGCCCTGAACATAGGTAGCGTCAGCGCCACAGACAGAGACTCAGGCACCAATGCCCAGATCACCTACTCGCTGCTGCCAACCCAGGACTCACACCTGCCCCTCGCCTCGCTGGTCTCCATCAACGCAGACAATGGGCAGCTGTTCGCGCTGAGGGCGCTGGACTTCGAGGCCCTGCAGGCGTTCGAGTTCCACGTGGGCGCCACAGACCAAGGCTCTCCTGCGCTCAGCAGCCAGGCGCTGGTGCGCGTGGTGGTGCTGGACGACAACGACAACTCGCCCTTCGTGCTGTACCCGCTGCAGAATGCCTCTGCGCCCTGCACCGAGCTGGTGCCCAGGGCGGCAGAGCAGGGCTACCTGGTCACCAAAGTGGTGGCGGTGGATGGAGACTCGGGCCAGAATGCCTGGCTGTCATACCAGCTGCTCAAGGCCACGCAACCTGGGCTGTTTGGCGTGTGGGCGCACAATGGCGAGGTGCGCACCGCCAG